AGACCATTTGCTGACATCTGGTGGTGCTCCATGGATTTGTAGCCCAGATGTGATTGCTCTATCCAAGTTAGCTAACTTTGAGAAAGGCTAGATGTCAGAGTTGGACACCTGGAGCTTATTTGTTCTTTTCAGGAAGATTTTTTTAAACCACCAGCACAGTGAATTTCGATGCAGAGTGCCATGCATGCACAGAGTGGGGTCTCTTTAACCATTTGTGTTTGTAATCTGGCATTTTCTAAATTAGATTTCAGTTTATTAGCAGCAGACAACAATTTAAAGCAGGAAGACATGATTTCACTTCCTCATGGGAAGGGCGGTGTCCAAATTTGAAATAAATGAATTAAAAATTTCAGATTCATTACTTCTGAATACATGCAGTGGTTTCCTTGATTCAGTTAAATCCGTGTTTTTCAATCTCAACAACTTTAAGATGTGTGTACGTCAGCTCCTAGAATTCCTCAGTCAGGATACTGGGAGCTGAAGGCCACACATCTTAAAGTTGTTGAGATTGAAAAATCCTGAGTTAAATCATGTATATTTAAGTTATATTCTTCAATCAGCATGTGCTCCAGAAAAATTCCAGCGTTCATCTGCAACTTAACCATGGCTAATTGAGCCATGATTTATTTAAGTACATTTTCTGAATTCCCACCACACTAGCACAGCATATTTGCAACATCAGTTAAAGAGCTGGCAGCTGCATTCTCACATTAACCTTTGTTAGCGTTTTATAGTTTTGATTTTTGCTTACGACATTGTCCCTTCAGTTTCAGGTTCCATGTATTGCATGAGCAAAGAAAATGGGGTTCTCCGGTCACTCCAGGAGCTATTCAACTGGTCCACCCCCGGTGACTGACGGACCCAATTGGGTTCCAAAGGGAGCTGGGCGTTATATCCGAGGGTCTGCTGCACAGTCCAGCGGAGGCCTTGGCCACTGCCTGGAATAGGAAGGCGGTCAAGGCCTTGGACAAGATTGTGCCCGTGCGACCTCTCCCAGCCCGACTGCGACACTCCCCGTGGTTCACGGAGGCATTGAGGGTCTTGAAAAGGATTAAGAGATGTCTAGAGTTCCGCTGGAGGAAAACGAAGACTGAACACAAGCTAGAGCTGTGATTAAGGCCTACCTATTGGTGGTAACAGTGGCGAAATGTCTACATTTCTCTGCTCTTATTGCACCCGCAGAATGCCACCCAGCGGCCCTGTTTAAGATCACCCAATCCCTTTTGGGAAAGAGGGACCCAGTAGCCTATTTACAGAGGTGCACAGAGGAGTTTTCTGGGCATCTGGAGGATAAAATCTCTCGCATCCAGTCCCAGTTGGATTCCAAACATGGGGCATGGTCTAGAGAGATGCCCAGGGTACGGACTTACCCTGTTATCTGGGAAGTGTTTGATCCTGTTGGACCCAAGGAAGTGGACAGGGTCCTCCAGACTGCTAATAACACCGGCTGTCAACTAGACCCGTGCCCCTCCTGGCTAGTTAAGGCTACAGGGGAGGTGGCATGTGGGTAGGTCCAGGTAATGGTGAATTCATCCTTGAGGGAGGGAGTGTTCCCAGCAGCCTTTAAGAGGTGCTGGTGCATCTCCTCCTCTAGAAGCCATCACTGGACCCCACCATACTGGACAATTTTCGCCCAGTCTCCCACCTCCCCTTTTTAGGGAAGGTGGTTGAGAAGGTGGTGGCGTTGCAGCTCCAGAGGATCCTGGAGGAAACAGATTATTTGGACCCCTTCCAGTCAGGTTTCAGGCCTGGATTTGGGACGGAAATGGTATTGGTCACACTCATGGATGATCTCTGGCGGGAGCAGGATGGAGGTAGCACAAGCATCCTTGCTCTTCTTGACCTCTCAGCGGCCTTCAATACCATTGACCATGGTGACCTTTTGGGCTGACTTAGGGAGTTGGGAGTGGGCGGCAGAGTTTTGTGCTGGTTCTCTTCCTTCCTCCAAGGTCAGTCCCAATCGGTGTTGATTGGGACCACGGCCCCTCCATTGTGGGGCGCCACAGGGCTCAGTATTCCCTCTGCTCCTTTTTGACATCTACATGAAACCCCTGGGTGAGATCATCCGCCACCATGGGATGAGGTATCCTCAATATGCAGATGATACCCAGTTATACATCTCCATCCTGGGAGACTTGAGTGATACCATGACCACCCTTTTGTGGCGCCTGGAGGCTGTGGAGGTCTGGATGGGGAACAACAGGCTTCAGCTGAACCCTGGTAAGACAGATTGGCTGTGGGTTGGGGGCTCCTCTGTATCTGGAAGTTTATCATCTTTGGCTGCGAATGGGGTGGCACAACCTGAGACAGACCTGGTACATAATCTGGGGGTCCTTCTGGACTCACGACTCCTGCTCAGGGTCTGCGCAAATTGGCAGGCATGGCCAGGAGGGCCTTTGCCCACCTTTGGGTGGTGTGCCAGTTACACCCCTTCTTGGATCAGGAGGCTCTCCAGTCAGTCACTCATGCGCTGGTCATCTCTTGGTTAGACTATTGCAATGCGCTGTACGTGGAGCTACCCTTGAAGAGTAGCTGGAAGTTACAGCTGGTTCAAAGTGCAGCCACATAGATATTTGGTGCCCCTAGGATGGCACATGTAACACCTTTGCTGTGGGAGCTACATTGGGTCCCAGTTTGCTTCTGGGTCCAGTTCAAGGTGTTGGTTATCACCTTTAAAGCCCTACACAGCATGGGTCCAGGTTACCCGAGGGACCGTCTCATTCTCGTTACATCAACCCGTCCCACCTGGTCAGGCAGAGAGGGCATGTTGTGGATCCCATCAGCAAGGGAATGTCGGCTGGCGGGTCCCAGGAGGAGAGCCTTCTCTGCCGTTGCCCCCGCCCTTTGGAATATTCTCCCTCCAGCGGTGCAGCGGCCCCCTCCCCCCCCCGGCTTTCCGAAAAGATTTAAAGACCTGGCTCTGTCAGTGTGCGTGGGGAGATATGGGCTCAACCCATCCCTAATGCTCCCTTGCCAATTTTCTATCTTCTTGGAATTTATTTATTTTTAGGATTGTTTTTATGTTGTATTTTAATGGATTTTTATCTTCTTGTGAACCGCCCAGAATCGTTTCACAAGATGGGCAGTGACAATTTGATGAATAATAATAATAATAACTAGGTTAAAGGTGCAGACACCACTATTGACCTATGAACTACTAGCTGAATAGACAAAACAAGCTAGATTACAACAAAGCTAGTCTGTGGTGAACTTGGCCAAATAAAATACACCCACGCACGCATGTGGACATTACCCTTATACATACATCCTCTGTACAGTTATGAGGTCCATCAGCTGTTAACCAACCTGAACCTCCATGTTCAGAGGCAATATACCTTTATGAGTTTCAGTTTTTACAGCAGGAACGAAGCATCTTTCCCCCACACTTTGCTCCGTGGGCTTCCTTAAAATTCCTGCTTAGCCACCATGGGAAATGGGATGCTGGTCTGACTGACTGACTAGCTCATACAATCGCTATGTTCTTGCTTGCAGACTTGAGTCTGTGCATACTTGCCCTCGGGCACGCACAGTCTCTGCAGAGTGAGTGAGGGTAGACTCTCGTGACTCTTGTGTGACGGGAAAGGACGGGACGGGAAGGGAGCCGGACGGGCCCCTGGGTGGGGAGGAAGGCGAGAAGGTCTTTTCAGGGAGACGCTCCCCCGCAGCTGGGGCTGATACACGAGGGGGGCGAACGGGGTGGGATTTGCATGGTTTCGTGGTCTCCGCAAGAGAAAGGGATCAAAAGGCGGCGGCGAGGGGGGGGAGTCCGCGGTCTCGGTAGCCTTGGAGGGGGGCGGGCAGGACCATCTGCTAATTGCAAGGGAAAGTTGGTTTTACGTGCCCGCGCGCACACACACAGGCCTGGATGTGTTTAGGGGACGAGAGCTGCTTCGCGCGGCGCGCTGGACCCGCAGGGTGGCTCACTCGCTCGCGCGGCTGACTCCGCCTCTGCCGCTTTTACAGCTCGGGGTTTCGTGCGAATTCAGGAACTGGGGCTGAGTAAAGCGTAGTTACGTTAAGCGTCTCGTGCGAACGCGGCCACTGCGTGCGCCCAGACAAAGGACTTCTTGCTCTGGCTCTTGCTTCAGATCGGCGTTTGGGTCGGGGGCTCTGCTCCTTTGCAAGAAGGTCATGCCGGGGCTGCGCCTGCAAAAGGAGATTGGGGAAAATGAGAGTCCTGTTGCCATTGATACGTTCTCAACGCGTGTAAGACGCCCATTCCGCTTCAGATAGTAAATTAATCGGGGGGGGGGGAATCAAAGCTGCCCTTTCAGATGCAACAATGTACGTACTGTAATGGGATGCTGGTTTTCTTTTAGCAAGGCCAATCCGCACTAAATGGCGCCGTGGTTTGCCTCTTGGCGCGGATCCCAATCAAGTGCAGGCAATCCCACACGCCGCGGCGAAGCGTTCCAGGGCTTCACGCGTTGTGTGAAGAGGGCGGAGACGCTACACGTGCACTACGGAAGCGGGGTGCGCGTGTAAGGAAGGGAGCACGCCTATCTTGGTAGACAAACCATAATAGTTCCTCTTCCTTTGTTTTTTCCCCCTTTTTCCCCTCCGCTGCAGAAAAAGGAAGCGGCAGCTATGACAAGGGCGGAAGCACTCTGCACATGCTCGGAGGTACGCCCTGCCTACTTCGCTGAGCAGGAAGTCGGACAATCCAAGAAACGCTCTGCGCGTGCTTGAAAGTTAATCAGCTTTATTTGACCTCGCTCTCTTTTCCTCCGTCGGGGGCGATGCGTCGGCTGGGGCGAAGCCACTCTGCACATGCTCGGAAGCCCTTTGTCTCTGCTTTTCTCGCGCTCTCCCCCGCAGCAGGAGGAGGAGGAGAAGCAGCAGCAGCGGAGGCGTTGCACGGGCTTCGCGGCCGACTCCGCCTCGTCGCCTGGCTTGGCTGAAGCGACGAGCGGCTCAGCTGATGCAAGCGGGCGGCCCGGCCCTCCCCGCCGCTGCCTATATAAGCCGAGCGCGAGGCGCCCCCGCCGCGGAGCCTCCCTTTCCGTGTCTTCGAGCGGCGGCCGCCAGAGGCGGGCTGGGTGCCTTTCCGATCAGCAGTGGCGCCAGCGCTGCGGGGCCCGAGCTCGGTAGGCAAGCCGGGGGGGCGCGGAGGGGGCCGGTCGGCGGCCAGACAGAATTCTGCATCCCCCCGACCTCGTCCTGACGATCGCGGTGCTGCCCTGGTTTCCGCAAACGCACTGCGCGGCTTTCCTTTGAAAAAGCTGCATTCCTAAGATATTCTGCACCGGCCGGGGGGAGCGGGGGAGGGCGAGACCGCGAGATTTGGTTCCCCCCCAAAACTCAACCTACCGCTCTTGCAACTCACACCCCTCCTTTTATGCGGTTGCAAATTCGTAGCGTTGCAAAGAAATAAAAGCTGGATTTCCCTGTGCTTTTCGGTCTTGCAAGCGGAGGGGGCTTGCGGTGTGGAATGCAGGGAGGCTAAGGAAACCGTGCAGTGCCCCCCCCGCTCATTTAGCACCCAGGAGGTTTTGCCGCCCCCGTCCCTTCCTGGGGGAATTATGTAGGTCTTTGCAACGGACGGTGCTGGAGTGACACTCGGCTCTCTTGTTTTCTGTCTCCAGTTGCACCTTCTCGGGCGAAATCCGTACCTAGAAATTGGTTTTCTTGCGAGCAAGTGGCCTGAGGTTTGGGGGAGAATGAGTGTCCCCCTCGGCCTCTCGAAATCATGCCAGATATTTCCTCCCTCCCTTAAGTATATAATAGAAAATGAGCTCATATGGTGATCACGCCCCCTTCCATCTAGGATATATGCGCGGGGGGGGGGGATTTTAAAAGAAAATGCAGGATAGATTGCAAAAAAGCCCACTCCCATTGGAAATAAAGGGTTGTGGATCTCCCACCAAGGGATCACCCTATTGCTGATTACAGAAGAGGGGGAGGGAAATAAAGGGGGGAGATTTGGGGCAGTTGGTCTGGTTTTTTAGACTTCTGACTCTACCCTTCCCCCTGAAAATTCTTGGATTTTCCCCTCTCCAGATTATGCCACATATGTGCCTGTATGTGTTCCTATAGCCTTTGGGAGATAGACAGATATTTAAAAAGTAATTATTTTACAACATCTGTGGATTTATTTTCAGTCAATAATTTTGTAAGAAGAGAGGTGTGTGTATTGTACACACCCCCTTCCTTCCGGATGTCCCTCTCTTCCAGCTCCTGATGTCTAAATTTGCTCTAATCATACATAACGCTGCAGATCTACTAAAGGAACCAAAAATCTCTGTTGGGTGCATTGCTACACAAAGGAATACGAATCTGGTGCAAACCCTTCCATCTCCTTTGCTTTGTCAAAAAGGTCCCTCCATCCGAAAGCTCAGATGAAAATCATCGGTCCTTGGGGTTGTGGATTTGGTTAGCTTCTGTTATGTTTTGAATAATAATTTTTCAGTATGTTATCACGTAGAAGGACGCAGAGAGCATTTAAAAAGGATGGTTCTTTGCGGAGTACAGGGCTGCTTCATGTGCACAGAAAACATCTGTGTAGCTTCCATTGTAATTCCCACCCCCAAGAGAAAGAGCGGGGTTGTGAGTGTGTGTGTGTGTGTGTTGGGTAGTAGAATTCACTTTCTTGGGGGGGTGCCTTCTCAGTTTGACATTTGTACTTTTGTGGATCTCTTTCTTTCCAGCTCTTCTTTGTCCTCTGTGTTTTTATAGAATTTATGTTTCATTGTCATTTTTGGTTAGTCTGAGGATTCTTTTACTAGCTGTCTAATCCAGCCAAAAATTGTTCTGTGAACCCTGACATTTTTCCCATTTTTTTTCCTCCTTCCCTCTTCTTCCAGGGTCTTTTTCAACCAATCCGGACTAGCTTCATCCAAATTTTTTTTCTTTCCTCCCTTCCTTGTTTCTTTTATTTTTTTTCTCCCATTCTGTCTCTTTTTTGAATATTCCTGCATTTTTAAAATCTCAAGATGGTGCAGAAGAAAACAGAACTCAAAGGCTTCCATCGTTCTTTTAAGGTAAAGTGCAACTATTATTTCCTTTTAAAAAGTGATTATAAAATTAGATGATTTTTTTTTTTTTTTTGGTGTTCTAAACCTTTAGGCATACTTTGCTTTCAGTTGTAAAAATGAGCTGTGGAGTTTAGTTTTCTCTCTAACAAATGGCAGTGGGTTCTGAACTGCAGGGAGAAGGTCTGGCTGTTGTCAATAAAAGAGGAAGCAGGCAAGGGACTAAACTTTTGTTGAATGTGCTTGCAAGTTTCTGAACCACACAGAAGAGTTAATCTTTGAAGAGGTGAGGTTGATGACCCTTGGGAATATATAATACTTCCTAAAATATTTACAACAGATAGAAATTTACAGGTGTTTCTGCAGTCTGCGGCAAAATGTTATGAGTTGAACTAGTCCTGCCCATGTCTCCAAATTTCTGGATGCTCCCCCCAATCCAGGTTCTCTCATATTTTGTGGCTACTGAATAGACTCAGTTTCCATTGGACTTTTGTAGTTTTTCTTAAAATATACTTAATTCACACCTCCCCTGCTCAGTGTAGTTGGTACTCGAGGTTTTTTGTTTTTGCAGAATGGAATTGCATTCTGTCCTTGTACATTTGAGGTGGTCCTGAATTTGGGAATGGGGCGCTTAGATTCCTGGGGAAGAAATGGAATAGTCAGAATTCCCAAATGGTCCCCTGCATTTTTGTGCTCCTTGCAAAGTCAGATCATTAGATATGAATCATTTAGTTTCCCACCGCACCACCATTTACCTTCTTCTTACCTATTGTTCTTGCCAATGCTTTGCAAATACCTGGTGCTAAAACTGGTACAGTATATTACTCATATAGCATAGTCTATCCCAACCTGTAGTCTTCCAACTCTGCCTTCAGCATTCATAATTCCTAGCCACCAGGTTTGGCATACATCCCTGAGTGCTGCAATTTAGAGTGGCATTGGGGTTTAAGCACATTAGGCTAATCCCTGGTTTGCTTAACCATGGATAAGCCCAGTTCTGGGCCATTAACCATGGTTTCTAGGCCACAGTGGTGGGCTTCATGCAATATGCTGTATCAAAAGCTGTTACTTGGTGAGGTGAGTGGATCCTGGCCTCCCAGTACTGTATACATTTTGTTTAATAAGAAATCAATGGGGGGGCAGGAATAGAGAAAGTTAAGGAACAACGGTGTTGAGAAAGCAAACTGTAGATCTTAAAAAAAAAAAATACAGTAAAGGCTTGTGTATGGGTATTTAAGGCATTCAAGAACATTTCTCATTGCTGTCACTGATTAGGTTCACACATCCAGCTAAGACATAGTGTGGTTTGCTTATCTGTAGTCATGCTGTTGTGTTACCAGCACATCACGCTTTGTAAACCCTGGTGTGTGGGTTAATAAGTTACGTGAATCTAGCCAAGTGTAGTTAGTACAGTGCAGTTAAGCATCTGTGGCTTAGTTTATTGTGTGAACACAGCTACTGTCAAATGCATTCAACATGATGTGTGTGTAGAGATTCTAATTTTGGCTACAAATCAGCTTAAGTTGATGCTTTTCCATAGCAAGGCCTTCCGTGTACCTTTTCTAGACTCAGCATGCTTTGAGAAAAAAACCTGGCTTGGATTTTAAAGAGGATATGCCTTTATTTTCTTATTTTTGCCGTGCATGTGCTTTTGAAGAAGCTAGGCTGAGTGTGATTCTGGGCTGTGATCTGCAGTTCTAGCCCTAATGGGGCTATTGCAGCCTCTGGCTTTTAAGGGAGACCCAGGAGATGTGTTCGTAACGCCAGCAAGCCCCCCTGTTTCTTCAAAGAAGGATGATGGTTTGTATTTGTTCAAACTCCAACTTCTCGGATTCATTTTACGGAGAGTCCCTTACCTCGTATATTTTTCAGTTGGAGTAACAGTGGCTGGAATTCTCTGCCCCCCCCCCAAATGTAAAGATAAGCTTCTAATTCTTATGAGTGATGTAAAGCTATTACCCACATGTCCAAGCATCCCTGGAGATTTGGGGCTACTGAAACTGTGTGGGTAGCTGAAGAAACATCAATAGGGTTTGAGGAACACAGGTTGAAGGCCCCTTCTTGGGGGATACGGAAGGGTATGTCTGGCAAAATAAGTCAGCGCAGTGATGGAAACCTTGTGTGAAAGTGTTTAGTGTTTGTTTGTTTGTTCTGTGCTCCTACACTGTCAAGCAGTGCCTCAAGGTGGTTTATAAGTTTAATGTGCCTGGTGGCCTTAGGAGAACAGAGATTGCAACAGTGCTTGCTGTGGGCTTGCCCGTCTGCCTCTTCCAGCTTGCTTGGTAGCTGCCTTGTTCCCATTCTGCAGGTGGGGTAACTGAGTCTGAGAGAGCCTCCCAGCCAGTTCAAAAACCTGTCCTACTTATGAATTCCACCCCGCAGGGATGCCAGTCAGCACTCTGCTCAAAGCCATGGGGTTCATCCCACAAGGATTTCTCCTCTTTCCCGTCAGTCCATGTTCATCTTTTGCTGGCTGATGGCTGCTCCTAATTATGGGATGTTGGCGTCCTGGTTCGCAGTGTGTGAGGGCTGGTCCTGTTGGGCACAGAGGTAGAGTGGTTGAGCCGGTCTCTGATTTTTAATAGAAGCTTCTGTGGCTTGAGTTGGGTTTGTCCTTGATGTTCCCTTCTTGAAAACCATGGGGGATTGCTTGTCTTTGTCACACAGGCTGAACTCATCTGCGTATATGGTGTACAACCATAGTTTGAATGCCTTTTCCCTTTGTACTTCGAGATGTCGGTTTGCAGCCTGGCACTCATGTTAAAACAGCTCCCATCCAGTTTTTCTGTGACTTAAAATTCAAGCTGCTAGTCCTCATGGTGCACTTCAGAACATCTGGTGACTTTGACAAGAATCGGGGGTGGGGGCAGCCTTTAGTGCTCCTCCAATTGTAGGCATGCAATAGAGACCATCCTGGTTCAAATACTGTGATGGAGGAAACACAGATATACATAGTTGCATTTGGTAATTGTGATGTGATGATAGGATAAGCGTTTTTCTTCATTCTAGGTTCCCAAAATGACTTGTGCAGTTTATCTGCTCGTGCAGGTCATTTTTCTGGGGACCTGAAGACTTGCTCCTCTTAGACTAAGGTTGTATTGATTAGGCCATCTTAGATTTTGTTGGTATACATTAAGGCAGTGTTTCTCAGCCTTGGCAACTTTAAGCTGTGTGGACTGCAACTCCCAGAATTCCCCAGCCAGCCAGGCTGGCTGGGGAATTCTGGGAGTTGAAGTCCACACATCTTCAAACTGCAAAGGTTGCAAAACATGGTATTAAGGCGTTAAATTTTAAGACCCTGGCCTAGACAATTCAGCCTAAATTCCTGCTGGTTTGGATTCAAACTCCCTGGCTTAGGGAGGGCTTGTGAATCTTGGCAAGAAATATTCTCTTTTGTAGTTTTTCCACGAAAGCTGCCTTTTACTCTTTTACTAGCACGGAAGATGTTCCCTAGCCGGGTAACGAAATGAATGCAAGAAAACAACCAGGCTCAGAGAACCCCAAGGACTCCACAGTTCAACCCTGAGCTACACCTATTTGCTTCTGTTGGTACTCTCACAACAACCTTGTGAGGTAGTTTACAAAAAGATTTGAGAGAGAGAGAGAGAGGTTCCCCTCTGTGCTAAGTGTACTAAGTTGGTGTCATAAAACTCAGCCACTGTGGGTTATTCAAGTCAATCATTATCAAACCATGAGAACCTGGCCAGGGTTTAAGTAAGGCTGCCTGACATTGTCCTGGGAATATTATGGTTAAATGAGGATTTGCAGCCTGTAGCTCCAAGTCAGAATCCAAAGCACTGACTAGAAGTGTCTGAGAATGTAACACCCCCCATACCTGGATTCAAATACATTTCCCCCTCTTTGGGTCTATGGCCTTTCAGCAAATAAATAAATAAATAGATGGTGCAGGACATTAACACTCCTGTTAAAGGAAACAATGTTGTGTTAATTTGTCATTTGATGATTAAAGAGATCCAGGTACAAACCCTTTGGGTTATTTTTATCTCTCTCTCAATTTTAGCCTACCTGGCAACGTCGTTAGGAGAATAAAATGGGGCAGGAGTTGCAGAGTTAGCTATGGTAACTGGAATTCCTAGGAAAAAGGGTAGAATGAATATTCAATAGAATGAATGAATATTTTGGGGGGAGGCGGACCCCTGATTATCCCTCGAAAAAGAACAAATAGCTTCATGCCTCAGAGGCAGAAAATAAAATGAGAATTAGAATCTCGATTCTAGAAGAACCAACTCTTCTGTTTTCTTTCCTTGCAAATTTCAGGTATTCATTGGACATGCAGCCTGTTCGCATTTTTCCTCCTTTTTCTCCAAAGCCCATGCTGAATCGCCGGCTTGTTCTCTTGATGTCCTTTTGCAAATTAAATTTGTATTATATAATACTCCTTCCCCCCCAGTCTCTGAATTTGATCACTGAATTTGGTTTGGGTTGGCTGCACCCAACGTGCTTTCTGGGCACTCTGACTTGAATTTCCTGCTGGTGTTTTTCCATAAGGTTTATAATTGCTCCAGACACACTTCGCCCTGTGGGTATTACCAACCTGTTTTTACTGCCTAACCTTAATTTAGCAGTGGTGGCTTACTTTTTTTTTAAAAAGCCAATCAAGCTAGATTCTTTGGGGCATTGGTCGTGGTGGGTCTTTGTGTGTGTGTGTGTTTCAGAGGGTGGGGGAATTTTGCTGCAAAATTCCTGTCGGGTGCGGTAGTTTTTTGTTTTTGTTTAAATAGCACAGCTTCCTGGCGTGGAACCAAATAGCAGTGCGGTTGTAAAGTTCTGGTTTTGTGAGCGTGTTGTGAAGAACAGCTGGAAGGAAAAGCGTCGGAGGGGTGGGGTGGGCCGGGCTGGGAGGGCCCCGGTTGAATGGACGTGCTCACATTTGTGCGTGCCTGCCTGCCGTTTGCATCCGTGAGGGCATCCACGCTTTTTAAAAGCTGCTTGTGTTGATGTAACTTCTGTTGTACCTTGTGGTTTGGATGTGAACGAGGCCCTGGAAGGGGAGTGGAGCGGCTGTGTTATGTAAGCAAGCACCCTTTGAGTTCTGCAGTGCTTGGCCTAGCTCTTCCTAAAGCAGAAAGAAAGCGAATGCGAGGGGAGAGCAGCAACAGCAGCCCCGCACAGGGCAGCAGGTCTTGAAATGGGGGAAACCTCGCTTGAGACGTTCGTAAAAAACCAGCGTTCAGATAAAGTCCCAAGTGGGGTCTGAGGCTGCCCCGGGAGGCTGAGCAGACCCGCACGAATGCCGTTTGAAGGCAGATGTGGTGGGACAGGGATCAACATTAAGGGCGATTGTGTAGACTGGATTAAAAAGTAGTGGTGAGAAGGATCAAGCCAGGGCTACAAGTGCGATGTGTAATTTTGCACGGTGATTACCTAAGAATACAATGTAGTGCATATCACACCCCCTGCCACCAACCTTGTTGCCTTGCTCACTTCTGAATCCTGCTGCCTCCTGCAGCCTCTCCTATCACACCAAAATTGTATCCCGCCTCCCCCGTGAGAAATTGCGAGATCTTACTCTAATTTTATATTTTATATTCTAATATTCTAATACACCCAGGCTTCTATTTTTATTTATTTAT